TGTGTGCGCAACTCACCTACATTGGTCAAGAGCCATGCTACAATCCCTACACCCACAATAAAATAAGCAAGGTCTTTTTTCTTATCATTTTGTTTCGTTTTTACTCTTTCTCTCTCTTTCAAACCAAACATACACACATACACATACACATACACACATACAGAGAGACACACACACTATATTCCTCATTTTCATTTTTTCTCTCATGGTCTTCTCTTTCTGACTCACTCACTCTCTCTCTCACTCTCTCTCTCTCTCTCTCTCACACACACACGCACAAACACCGTGATAGACACATACACGTCATTTCTCATTTTCTCTTTATTATTTCTCTCTTTCTTCTTTCTTTCTTACTCTCTGTAACTCTCTCTCTCTTTCTCTCACTCCACTCATTCTATCACACAGACAGAGAGAGAGACACGTTATTCCTCATTTTTTCCTTTCTTCTCTCACGGTTTTTCTCTCTCTCGCTCTCTCTTACACACACACATAGAAACACACACACACACACATATATATATATATATATATATATATATATATATATATATATATATATATATATGTATATCACTCTCTTCTTTTCTCTCTTTCTTTCACTCACTCAGTCACACTCACACATCCACACACACAGTCATACAGAGAGAGACAGACGCGTTATTCCTGACTTTTCCGTTTTTTCTCTCACGGTCTTCTCCCGCCCCTCTCTCTCTCTCTCTCTCTCTCTCTCTCTCTCTCTCTATCTATCTATCTATCTCTCTCTCTCTATCTCTCTCTCTCTCTCACACACGGAAACACACAGAGAAACACATGCATGATATTCTTCACTTTTTATCTCTCACGGTCTTCTCACTCTATCTATCTATCTATCTATCTATCTATCTATCTATCTATCTATCTATCTATCTTGTACACACACACGCACACACAAAGAGACACACAAAAAGATAAACATATTATTTTTCATTTTCTCTTATGTCTCTCACTGTCTTTTCTGTCTCTTTATTTCTTTTTTTTCTCTCTCTCTCTCTCTCACGCTCGCAGACACACAAAGACACACACACATGCTATTCCTCATTTCTCTTTTTTCTCTCAACATCTTCTCCATGCTCTCTCTCTCTCTCTTTACTCACTCAGAGAGAGCGATAAAGAGACACGCACACACAACACACAAAGAGACACACACACGTTATTCCTTATTTTCTCCCACCATCTTCTCCCTCTCACTTACCCACAGACAGAGAGAGAGAGAGAGTGAGAGAGAGATGCACACAAAGTGACACACACGTTATTCCTCATTTTCTCTTCTTTTTCTCTCATGCTCTTTTTCTTCCTATTTTCGTCGACTCGTTTAATTTTCCTTTTGTTTTTACATTTCGTTTGCCCTCTGCTGTCTGTATTTTTATTCGCTTATAGACTTACACACTTTTATTGAACACGACAACACAAAAATCAATTTCAGAGAGTCAGACACACATAAGAGGCAACAAATCAAAGAACCGAGGCCTTTGCATGCATCTGCCTGTCTATGCAGACACACCTGACATTATTCAGACACACGCACGCACACAAATAATTAAGGAAATATTTAGACAAATATGACGAGAAGTATGAATCGCCTATATTCTGCATGACACCGTTTTTTAAATCTCTATTTTTAGGGGGAAATATATTGCGTGAATATAAAAAAGACATTGGAAATAAACCGACAGATAAAATGGACACATACACACAGGCGAGTATTGGTGAACGAAACGAAAAAAAAAAAACCTCACAGTGTATGCACACACTGACAAACAAACAAAGGGAGACAGAGTTGTGGTATACATATTTAAGACTATCAACTGCACAAGCCGCTAGATACAGATTTACGCTGATTATAATTAGAATATATTAATTCCTTAGAAATTATGAACACAAATGAGATACACGCCACTTTAACATTTTAAATCTATATCCACCGGCTTACGCTTTCAAGATTTTTAATAAACCGCTCAAAATTTTAAAGTGACCCTTGGTAATTTTTTAAAAATTATCTCAAAATTAGTTGTTTTGTACTTTAAATAAGAGAAAATTATTGTACATGGTTAACATATTTGAAACATATTTTTTTTAGAAATTTTATTATGACAAAAACATATTTTTTTTGGTAATTTTATTATGACAAAAAGAAAAAAAAACACTTTATGATTAAAATTTGCTCCCGTGTGCGCGCGTGTGAGTGTATGTGTGTATTGGGGTCAAACACTGGATGGAAAACCGACAGAATAATAGAAAGAACAAATAGAAAACGTTTAGGAATCACACGTTTTGCCTTTATTAAAGATTTATCAAAGAAGGATAAATGGAAAGGGAAAAAAAAGAAAAAGATTTCATGATTAAATTTTGCTTTCGTCACAATATCCTCTTTTACCCTTGATTACTGCAGTAGAACTTTTTGGCATTCGTTGCAGATAAATTTGATAATTGATTCAATTTTTTAATGACTGTAAGAGCTCTTTTTTTATATATGTTTTTGTTATTTTTTTCTCTCTTCTGTCAAGTATATCATATGCTATTTTTGGGGGTAGCTACCAAATTTTGAACTGTAGTGTATGTCGCTGCTGAGTGTTTCTCTCTGTCTGTTCGTTGGCGCTTCATCTTTTCGTCTCTCCCTCTCTCTTTCTCTCTCTCTCTCTCTCTCTCTCTCTCTCTCTACTGTCAATTTTGGACACACAATGGAGATAAACACACAGAAACACAGTGAATAAAAAGGCATAGTCAAAAGCAATATCAGACGTACGTAGAGAAGATAGTGTGAAACAGACGCACAAAAAATGGAGACAAACAAGCTGACAAGACACACGAAATAAACAGACGTGCATCTGGCTGTGGAACAAAGAAAATTGATTTAATCTCACAGCTCAATCATTTCTGCCCGCAGATCGACTCCCAGATAAGCTACGTGAACTTCTGTAGATATAATATGTTACACACACAGAATGGTGACACACACGCATTGATATATCGTATATACTCGTGTAACGCGCGTATCGTGCGACCCCCAAATTTTTATTTATAAAAAAAAATGATTTATCATGCATCTCGTATCTCGTGTATCATGTGAGTTCTGTTTTTGAGAGACCAAATTAAAATAGACTAACCCCTTTTCCTCTATCTCTTTATCCCATCTTCTTTTTAAATAAGTTAAAAGTAAAAGAGAATGATAATGAGTTACGTTAATAACACTATACTCATTGCGTAAACGCGTCCAGCCATAAACAACCTAACATGTAACAACTAAACATCTAATAATCGTAAACAATAGAAAAGATGCATATTCGCTATGTTTGTATTTTATAAGACGATATAATATATGAATATTACATGCATTATTATTGGATACAATTAAGTAAAATATCAGTTTTATCAAAATAGTGTTTATTCTAAACACAGCAGCACTTTTCGACTACAGTAAATGGATATAGAGCTTGGCCAAAGGCGTCGCAAGGGCCAGCAGTACATACGGTTATTTTTTTAATATATATCGTAATTATATAATTATATAATAAAGATATCAATAAGAACACTGCATTAAATATATTTCTGTTCTTTTTTTTTTTTATATATATATATATATATATATATATATATATATATATATGTATATATATCAGTGTAACCCGGATATAAGAGAGTTTTCGGGACCGGAGAAGAAGTCTATTGTATCCAGGTTTCTCTTATATCCGGGTTTGGTCTATTATATATACATTAACACAGACTCTAATTTGGGACCAGACAAAATCTCTCTTATATCCGGGTTTCTCTTATATCCGGGTTTGGTCTATTATATATACATTAACACAGGCTCTAATTTGGGACCAGAGAAAATCTCTCTTATATCCGGGTTTCTCTTATACCCGGGTTTCTCTTATATCCGGGTTTGGTCTATTATATATACATTAACACAGGCTCTAATTTGGGACCAGAGAAAATCTCTCTTATATCCGGGTTTCTGTTATATCGGGTTTGGTCTATTATATATACATTTACACAGGCTCTAATTTGGGACCAGAGAAAATCTCTCTTATATCCGGGTTCCTCTTATATCCTGGTCTCTTATATCCGGGTTACACTATATATATATATATATATATATATATATATATATATACATATATATATATTAAGAAAGAGATAAATTTAAGGGTTCATGATTATAATTTTCTAATTCCTCAGATCAATATTTTACATATACAGTGTAACCCGGATATAAGAGAGTCTCTTATATCCGGGTTTCTCTTATATCCGTGTTTGGTCTATTTTATATACATTAACACAGGCTTTAATTCGCGACTATAGAAAATCTCTCTTATATCCGGATTTCTCTTATATCCGGGTCTCTTATATCCGGGTTACACTGTGTCGATCTCCCGTATGGTATGACCGCCAAATTTTCACTTATAACAAACGATTTTATCATATATCTGGTATATCATGCGAGTTCAGAATACAAATTACAATAGACTAACCTCTTTTCATCTATCTCTTTATCCCATCTTATTGTTAAGTATCGTTACTAACGTAATACTCGTTACGTAAACAGGCGTAAACAGGCGTAAACAACCGAACGAGAAACAGATAAATATCTAATAAACGAAAACAATTGAAGAGATGCATATTCGCTATATTTGGATTTTATAAGACGATATATATATGTATTATTATTCAATACAGTTAAGTAAAAATCATGCTTATTTTAAATACAGATGTATTTTTGCTTGCAGTAAATGGACATATAGTTTGGAACACGGCGTAGCCAGAGCCGGCATTATATGTGCTAATTTTACATCTCGTGTACGATGTGACCTTCTTAAAATTAACTTCAAAATTTAGGTCTTCAAAACTCACATGATACGCGATTTTTTATATATATATATATATATATATATATATATATATATATATATATATATGTGTGTGTGTGTGTGTGTGTGTGTGTGTGTGTGTGTGTGTGTGTGTGTATATATACTTTATTATAGTATATTACATTCGAACATGTAGAAACAACGCTACACAAATGCAACCATGTTTCGATGTGTATCAACATATCTCATCAGGCGTTAGTAAATGACTGATTATTACAATTATTAAGATTTAATTACATACAACCTCTTTATCCTCGAAAAAAGGAAAGAAAAAATGAGCAAATTAGAAAGACAGAGAAAAGGAAGAAGAGAAAAGGAAAATATAAAGAAAGAATAAAAAATGAAGAGTGGCAAGACTTGTTATTTTTATAATCAGCTGAACCAATCAAAATGGCTTATGCTAAGTAAAACAGTCTTTGCTACATTGTTAACATCAAGCGGCTAACAGTTCTTATGAGGAAGATAACGTAATTAAACAATACTTTATTATAGATAAATAATATGTCTCTTTAAGAAATAAGTAAAAGAAAAAGAAAAGAAAATATAATGAAAACTTAAAATTTAACAAAATATTTAAATAAATAGAGTAAACAAAACTTTTACCATATAGATTATACAAAAATAATAAAATAATAAATTATAAATTATATATATCATACTCAATGTAATTCAGCTGTTAACTAAAAGACTTTATATAGGGTATTAAAGAAATCAATAGATAATGTTAAAACGCCAATCAAACGTATATAACTCTAGACTAAATATTACTATTACAAACTATGCTACATTGAAAGGTTTAACTAAATTGACTGTTAATTCAAATCTTTGATTTAATAAATCCTCCCTATTTAAAAATCTGATTATCTGCATTTTCTCCTGTAAGCACAAAAAGCAAGAATCTACATGTCTTTGCCAGTTTTAAAATTTTCCATTTAGCTTTAGGGTTTTTATTTTCTTCTTCCAACAAATATTTTGAAAATGAAGTTTTATTTCTACAAGTAACATTAGTAAAAAAAGGAAAGGCGCTGATACTAGCGGTTTTTGAGAGCATTCTTGGTTCTGCCAACATAAAATTTTCAACACATGGATTTTCAACTGATTGAGCATAGATACACTAGGGATTCAGTTAAGCATTTTTTAGATAATGGGCATTGGTTAAGATTCTTACACTTACATTGGTGACTGTCCTTAACAATATTTACATTACTGTTTGCATTATGGTTAAAATTATTAAATTGGTTTAGTGTTCTATTGTTGTGCAAATTTAAGATTTTCTCAAGATTATTGGTGCAACTATAACTAAGTTTTAATATATTCCTATTAAAAATTTTACTAAGAGGGTATCTTTTCGGGAAATGTTTGTCAATTAATTTAAGAAACTTATGGCCTTACTTCGTGCTAACTTATGGATGTGTGTAGCAGATGATCTTCCTATTTCTATTTCTTTTCTTTGAATTACCCTCATATTCTCCAACCTGAATTTCAGTGGACTTATAACTACTATTCCTAAGAACTTTATTGTACACACTGCTATGTTTCTCAAAGACATCTCTGTTCGATGAGTGTTTGCTAATTCTACATTCTACAGAGGAAGGAATATGTCGGATTATAGACGGTGGGTGATTAAGATGGATATAGATTGGGTTGGCATTGTTTTTCATATAAGGCTGAAAATTGTCATAGACTATGTCCAACGTTACATCCAGAAAATCAACGTGTTTGATATTAGTATTTTAATCTTAAAATATAAACTTTTAAATTCCCTATGAATCATTTTTCTAAGTTTATCAACTTTAATTCTCGTAGAGATTTTTTTTTACCATGATAAACCCACCATCTTTATATAACCCTATACTATCTAGTGATCTCCTCATAAGCAGTAAAGTTATTCAAAATATATAAAACAAACAGATCAGAAGACAACGCAGGGTCCAATAGTCCCATAGAAATGTCAAAGTTATCATCAGAGTTTTTTGGCCACTGTTCTTTATTGTGAATTCGAACAGATCTTCTACAATTTATAACAATATTTATATCTTTACTTGAGATGCTGGAATAAACTTTGGCAAATTCTAATGCCAGTCATTGGATATTGAAGGGTAGAAATCGACAATATGGAACTGGATAAAGGTGTAACTGTTTTTGTTGTTGATGCCTCTAAACCAGTTAATAACTTCAAGTGAATAAGTAGATGGTGATTTTTATTTATTTTTTTTATTAACGCCTTCAAGTATAACTTTGCTTATCCTTCCAATCTTCGATCTGGTGTGATTTATGATCCTTGTAGAAAGTTTTGTCTTGAACTCATATATATATATATATATATATATATATATATATATATATATATATATATATATATATATACATATATATATATATATATATATATATATATATATATGCAGTAGACTTTCATTCAAACAGGTTTAGTTAAACAATTTAAACATATCAATTTTCTAAATCTACCAAACAATTAATCCGTGAAATTGTAAGGATCACAATGAAACTAATCTTCATAGAAATTATTTGCCCTCATCTTTATTGTCATGTTCACGACGTTTCGGTTGATGGACGCTCTAACCTTCTTCAGGTGATTGGAACTTCGAACGGGGTAGATTGGTCTAGTTCCACGTCCCATGCTTCTTCTGGATGTCTCAGGTATTTCCCTTTAACACAAAGTTTCAATTTTTTTTTGTTCACCACTGCTGTAGTATTAAACACACTACATTTTGGGTTAATCTACTGTATCCAATCAACATCTTTAACCACTGCGCCATCTGTCCTTGAGG